AAGTGTTTTCACATTCAGAACAAACCGAACCATGATTTTTGATGTGGACCTAACCACCTCTTTTGATCATATTATATTTTGGTCCGTTTGTCAAGGTCATGGTCCGAGGCCCCTTTCACTCTTGTTTATTTGGTTCAGACTAAACTGAGAAGTCTGAAGGTCTGGACTATATAAGATGTGAAAGCCCCCTTAGTTTAAAAAAAGGGGGGAAAGAAGACTTTCAGGCTTTTGTGAACAGTTCTTGTAGAAATCTGTGTCTGTTTCGGGTTTACTGTGTGTGTGGTTGTTTGTTCAAAGCCATTGTTGTCCGAACAGTTATTTGTGATGGTTAGGGCTGTAGGGTAAGAGACTAGGGAATGCATTATGTCAATGAGTGTCCCCACTCCCCACACCAATGGAGCAACATGTTTGTATGTATGTGTACAAGGGTACTACTATATGTGGGAGTGTGGACTCACATCAACCAGTGGAACGTGGGTGGAGGACATAAGGGAAAACTCCTGCTGAACTAATTGAAACTCAGAGCTGCACACACACGTACACACACCCACACATGCATCTACACCTACTTCCTTTGATGGCTTCCATCTCCAGGTTATTTTCTTCATCCTTGCTATATTGATTGCTACCATCCTCCTGTGCATCTGCTACAGTCACGTCGCTGCAGTTTTACATCGACAGTGTTGCAGCAAGAATGTGAATAGGACCCTCTGCGATAAGTGGTGGCTTTGTGTGCGTGTGCAGGTTTGTGTTTGTGTGTGTGTGATGCTACTAGTATCCCCCATTGCCCCACGCGACCACACAGAAGCCATAATGGGAGCAATCTCTGTCTGCTCATACATCACTGTTAGCTTTTTGTGTTAGATGGTCGGCAGAGATTGATTAAAAAGAAAACCATACTGAGAGGAAACTGGTATTAGGGCAGACTTTAATTTTAGTTTCAAGTGGAGGTATTTGAGGTTTACTTGCCCTCACGCAGCTGACGTTACGTGACTGTGTTCACAAAAGTAGCTGTGGAGGGGACAATAGACTGACGGTGAGACAAAACCTAATTTCAAGGGCACAGGAAGGAGAATATATTATTTGTGTGTGCTTGTGTGTGTGTGCGTTATTGTAATCTGTAGGGTTTCTCCAGCATGAAAGATTGTGTGCACGTGTTTGTTTGTCACAGATGTTTATAGTGACATCCTTGAGTCTCTGCCTGCATTGTAATCACAGCATAGCATCAGGCGGCCTGCTCACAGCGGCAGCTTGAAGTGGATGGAACGAATCGCTGTCATCTGAGGTGGAGTGTGACTCATAGCCTCAGGAAATTATCAAGTGGATAATAAAGGTTCTGCAACTTTTTTTTCTCTAGGTTTGACTTGACTTGAAAACTTTTAATTATGCTGCGTTTTCTGTCAGCGTGTAATACAGTGTACTGGCAGCCTATGAGTCTTAGTAATTACTGCCGTCAAGTACATTATGCTTTTTGTCTGCGTTTGTTTGTGGAGGTATGAGCTCTGTGAGTTTTATTTGGCTGGAAAACACACAAAGACAAGCAATTAGCATGACAGCAGCATAAATGCAGTTTTCTCGTAGTCAAATACTTACAGCACACTTGTGCTATGAGACTTCCACCCCCCTCATCCCATGTATGTTGTCTTATTCACTGGTAACTGACTAATGAAGGTTAAAAAAAAATCTTACATAATAAAAGGAAATCTGAAAAAGAGTTTTCATGCATCGTCAAATATGCTGCTTTGCATAACAATTTTTATCTGATGGTTTTTTTTCCAGCAAATGGTTCAATTACGTGGTTAGACAATCTAAGAGTGGTCTTGTGTCTTCAGGTTTCACCATTGCACTTATTAGATCATGATTGGCTTAAGGATTACCTGTGATGCCACATATCATACTCACTGAGAAAAGAAAACCCATAGGAAAGTGTTATTGCTGCTTCCTTTCCCACATTCAGCATGTGGATGGAAATGAACAGGGTCTGAGGGACTGCGCACTTCAGATAAACATAATATGTTTATTTTGCATCCACGTGTTATGGAGCATTGAAACAGTACATCAAACCAAATGTGTGTGTGAGTGTGCTACTCAAGTAAAAACATTCATAAATTATTGGGCGTTTTTACCTTAATTCGCACTACCTGGACTGAAGCTGTGTCTTGCATAGTGACCTGCTTTTAGAAGTCTTGTGTTTAGTGTGAACCTTAGAGAAGATACGAGGAGCTTAAAAGAAGAGGCAGCACATCCTATCATTTTATTGCAACAGTATCACTCTCAGAAGATTAAAGGCAGAGCAGAGAGAAGCAGGGAGCTCCTGCTGTACCCGGGGATTCCTCCTTCACAATGAATGATTTCAGGCCTTGTTTGATAATCGAGATCCAATTTCAATACAATTTCGAGATTGTTTCATAAATCAGCACCAAATGAAAAGTCCTATCTCCCCTGAGAAAAATTAGGGGGAGGGAGCTAAGACGTGATCAGAATCTGGGTGATGTATCTCCAGAGCACAAGTCCTTTCACCCTCTACAGTATATATGATAATTGTGCGATCTGCTGTGGGGTCACTTTGTTTGTCACAGTTGCTATAATTATTCACCAAGATGTCAAGTGCCAAGCTGCATTGGGATCAGCTGATGAGTTACTGTACTGTGGTTTGCAGGGAATGATTGACTCCACAGCTACATGTAGTATATGTGAGTGTCCTGCCCTCTTCTTATTATCACTGATCTCCACATAATCTCCTAACATCATCAGCTGTATATGACAACGCACATGTCTGTGTGAGAGGCTGTGGAGTTTCTCTAATGATACTCCAGCCATTAAAAACCCTGGGGAATGTCTGAATGAGCCCATGTTAGAAAACAGCAGGAGACCCTCCGCAGGATTCAACAAAAACACCACCCCTCACCTGAACGTTGCAGAGACTGCCAGTACACCAAGAGAGTTCAACACAGTAATGGAACCTGTTTTAGCTGAGAATGTTGTTCGTCATAGCATTCTTTGACAGATAGATGGGTTAACACTGCTAAGTAAAATCTTTATGTAAAAGCTTATGCATCAGACAAAGTTAAGAAAGTGATCCCACCAGCATTTAGTTGATTCCACTCTAAAAGTGAACATGTTGTTGATTGTGCTAACAGCTGACTGCAAACAACACTTGATACTAATGATCCTCCAAAAAGATAAAACTGACCTGCAAATTAAAGCAAACATTAAAAGCAGACAATGACAGGAAAATGGTGTTCCCAGGTGTGGAAGAATCTTGCTTGGTTTGATAATATAGTCTTAAAATATATAGGAAGCCCATCTGTAAATATCAGCCTCTGCAGCAGCCTATTACTCATCATTAATAGAGGTAATCCAGGTTTCTTTTCAGCACTGTAGTAAGACTCACAGCTGTATTGATCCATGTATTCCCATGGCTCTAAGTTGTAATCACCTCATGAGCTTCTTTAATGAAAAATTAAAGACAAAATTCATCACCTACCGCCCTCAACTGGCATCAATTTATCTTCATCCACAGGAGCCTTCTGTAAAATCTGATAACTGCTGTTTTCTTCCATTGACCTTCATGTAGCTTTAATAATGTTTTAATCTAAACCATCGACCTGCCCCTTAGACCACATCCTAACTAGGCTGTATAAGGATGTTTTAACCTTAGTTACCATTTCTTCACCATATGATCAATCTGTCTTTTACTGCATGCTAACTCGTGCAAATCAGCTGTAATTAAGGTGAAAGCCAACAGTAGACCTATCTAACCTCCCCTCCTTGAGAAAACAGTCAGTAATCAGCTGTTGCTTGCTACTCAACAATGGTTTACTTAAGGATTGACAGTCAGGATTTAGAGTGGACTAATTGTGTTATTAGGAAGCACCTTGTATACTTCCATTGTTATGCAGATGATACCCAATTATATTAATCAATGAAGCCAGATGGAACCAATCAGTTAGCTAAACTTCATGCATTTCCTAAAGATCTAAGAACCTAGATGAACTGCAATTTGTTGCTTTTAACTCAACAAGTCATTGTAATTGGCTCCAAAACACCTCAGAAATGTTAATTGTCTAATGACATAATTATTTAAAGGTTCAGTGTGAAAGATTTAGGTGATAAGAATTTTTGGCAGAAATTTAATATATAATAATCCTAGTAATGTTTTCCCTGTGTTTCATCTAAATTGTATGAATTGTTGTTTTCTTTACGATAGAATGGGCCGTTTATATTTAAAAATGTTATATTTACATGGAGGGGGATCCTCTCTGTTGAGGCTGCCATCTTTTTCACTGTCGTCCAAACTGGACAAACTAAAACCTTTTGAGTTCTCATGACAGCTGTAGTTCACCACAGGTTCTCTCTCATGTTGGGAAGGAGAGGGTGAAATGAGGAGTGTTCAGCTGCAACATGACACTTCACCACTAGATGTCACTAAATTCTACACACTGAACCTTTAAGATGCAATTTCCCTGGACTCCTCAAATGTTATCTTTGATTACAACATTTAAATTACTGCCTTTTTTCACATTCATCATAAAAAAAGATTTCTATGCATGTCTTACTTCTGGGCTAAGTTACAGCAATTTTTTTTTATTAGGCTGTCCGAACAAATCTATAAAGATTGCTGCATATATACTGACAGAAGCTAGAAGAAAAGATTACATTTCTCTTATATTAGCTCCTCTGAACTGGTTTCCTGTAGAATAAATAATATAATTCAAAATCCTAGAATTGTCTGTCTTATATAATTGAATGATTTACATTTTAGTGAATTCTTTCTGTCTCTCTCTACCTCACTTCCACTCTTTCTCTACCTCTGTCTTTCCAACCGGCCGAGACAGATGGCCGCCCAAAGAAAGTTACCTCTGCACTCTCTAAGTGCTTTTGCATTGTGATGCTATATAAAATAAATGAATAAAACTGTCTTAACTTAACTGTTCTGATCTGTTCTTCATTCCCACCCTACCACCTTCTCTATCTTTCTCTGGTACCCTCTTTCCCAGTGGGATTCCCGGAAAGAAGTGTGGAACCATCATCTTCGCAGCCGAGGAGCTCAGTAACTGCCGGGTTAGTTTCACATTACACTCTGCACACAGTGGACCTGTTCAGACCTGGTATTATCATTTGTCTCTTGTGGATAGTTCTAAATGCATCTGTTCAGAGTGGGACTCCATTTGTGATCAGAGCTCACAGGAGTTCTAAACATGTTTATTTGCATGTAGATCTGCAGCAGGTCAGAGGACCTCAGCTGCAGCAGTCCTTGGACCTGTGGCCCAGAAATGTGGCAACATGCGTTCCAGACCATCTCCTAATGCGATCTCAAATGTGTTGTTGGTGCATCTTGGGTGTGTTCACAATTGTCGGATCATCTAATTCAAGTCTGATCAGGACTTGTGTTTCACCAGGCTTACACACACACACACACACACATGCGCACACAAACACACTGTGTGATATAAAACGTCAGCGACAGGGGTCAGAAAGTTAAGCACTAGATTCTGAATTCATTACAGTCATGTTCTGTGTTTCCATTTTTAAACTTTGCAGAGAATTTAAATGACTGCACAGACTTCAGAATAATTTTGTCATTTGCATCAAATGGAGGGAAAGGGAATTTGTACTTTTCCTTCAAAGTGGTGATCACAGCTACACATGAATTATTTATCCAGTCCTACAGTGCATTTTTCTTGCCATAGGGGGTAAATAATTGGACACTCCAATCAAAGAGAGAAGCACTCGCAAGCACACACACACACAGCATACCATGCTTTTACATTACACACATTTACATGTAAACAAATACAGTTACATCCATGCTGGAATAATGGTGAGATATGCTAATGTGTATACACAAAATTAACTTTAACCTTACCCCCCCCTCCTCTCTCCCTCTCTCTCTCTCTCTCTCTCTCTATATATATATATACATATATAACTGAAGGACATAAAACAGTGATGACAGTAAACTGCAGAGTCCTTGAGGGCTTGAGACCACCAAGCTCATTCCCATGTATTAGTCATGGTTCATAGGTCTGCTGAAATGTATAGCAAAAAACCTGTCTCTAGAAAAAAAAACTCCCATGGTTGGCTTTGGCATAAGAATAAAACAACAATTCTATCCAAATTTGTATTTTCAGAGCAATTTTGTCATCGTGGTTTCTTACAGATTTTATTAATTCATAAGTAAACATGGAAAGTAGCTGCCTAAAACATTCATTATGGTTAAGTGCATATGGATCTACATCTGGGTCATCTTGCACATTGGTTTGGGGCTTTGAATTTTTCTTCCAATCCAGCTGTCCGCTAACAGCTATCATCAGCCTACCTACAATGCTAACCAATAGTATGAACTTGACAGGGCGAGCAGAGCCACTTTGCTCTGGCAGCTCACGTTGTTGTTCCCAGTGCATCCGAGAGCAGTGATACTGAAAGGATTATCTCACAGAAGTGAGGACGACCATCTGCACTACTTATGTTAGATAT